GGCGATCCTTCAGCCTCAGCCTTCCAAGTAGCTGGAACTACAGGCGCGCGCTACCACATCCGACTGATTTTTGATTTATTGTAGAGATGAGGTCTCGCCAAGATGCCCAGGCAAGTCTCGAACCCGCGGGCTCAGGCAATCCACTCACCTCAGCCTCCCAAGGCGCAGGATTACAGGCTGAGCCACCAAGCCCGGCTACCTGTTGCTTCTTGAGAAGGTAACTAAGCTGGTAAATACTGATGGGTGGGAAAGACTTTCTTTTCACCCTACTCTTATACTTTTAAAGTTTTGTTTTATGTATGCATTACCTATTCAAAAATAAAAATAAAATAAAGAAAATGGTCCAAAATGTGAGTAGACAGATGAATGGTGAGTTAAAATTATACTGAGATGCCACTAGCTGATTATGATTAAAAAGACAATTCCAAGTGTTGGAACCCTCATACATTGCTGGTGGGCATATAAAATAATAGCCACTCTAGAAAACAGCTTGGCAGTTACTTAAAAATTAAACATAAACTTACCATACAACCCAGCAATTCCTCTCCTAGGACTTTACCCAAGAGCAACGAAAATATACGTTTATCCAAAGGCAAGAAGAATGTGAACGTTCATAGCAACATTATTCATAATAGGCATGGATTAGAAACAACCGAAATGTGCCTCAACTGACCAATGGATAAACAAAAGATGTTCCATCCACACAATGGCATACTACTCAGCAATAAAAAGAAGCCAACTACTGATGCAGGCTACGATAGCGATGAGCCTCAAGAACATGATGCTGAGTAAAAGAAGCTAGATGCAAAAGTCTGCATATTTATATAGTCTATTTATATAATATGTCCAGAATATGCAAATGTATGGACAGAAAGCAGATTAGTGGTTGCCTAAGGCTTGGGGGTGAGAATGAGGATTAACTATAAATGGTAACTTTTGGAGATGGTGAAAATGCCTCAAAACAGGTTATGGTAATAGTAACACAACTCTGTACATTCACTAAAAATAATTGAATTATATTCTTACAATGGGTGAATTTTAGGCAGTTACTTTACATTTAACCTTAATAGATCAGTTAAAAAACACAAGTTCCTGGGCCATATGTTCAAGGAACCCTCATTCAGTAGATTTTTGGGTGATGCCCCCCAAAATCTGCATTTTAAACAAGCACCCCCAGGGGATTCTGATGTAGGTGGTTCCTTAAACCACAGTTAGGGTTCCACTGGTCCAAAGTTTGGCGGGGAGGAAGGTAAACAGGAGGGATGGTGATCTCTCCCCTCAGTCCACTTGGGTCTCCTCATCTTCCCCAGTAGGACTTGCTGGTTAAGTTTCCTTCATCAACTGCCAGAGGGTTTCTCTTAAATATAGCCCCTATCCTTCACTCCCCTGCTCCATGCTCCTTCATGGCTCCCACTGTCCTCAGGTAAAGTCCGAACTATCTGCATGGGCACTGCTCTTTCAGTTGCTTTCCGGTGCAGGCAGTATCCTGGGAGGCAAGTGAGGAAGGGTTGTGCAAGTGCAAGATCAGATTCTGTCTTATGTCCATTTTTAAAATTTTGCTTATCATGGATTTTTTTCATTTTAAAATGCTGCATTAACATATTATTTATCTTGATTACTGAGGTTTTTTGGAGGGGGAGCACCCTCTGAAATTTTGCCCCAGAAGTGGGTACCTCATTCATCTCACCCAAGTCCTGGACTGCTTGGAGATTCACTTGGAAACCCAGTCGCTTCCCACGCCCCTCCTCCTTCCGCAGGGCCAAGGAGGGTGGAGGAGAGGGTGACTGTTTACAACAGATCCTGTCCTGGAGACTCTGAGATTGGAAAACAGAGCTGTGGAGAGGGATTCCCCACCCACTTTCTTCCGGAGGGAAGGAGGGATACATCCCAATTCTCATCCCTGACCACTCCCCTCCAGCTGTGACTGTATAACCTGAAATTCACGCAAGAGTTTAACCTTTTTAACCTGTGTGGCTTTTGCACAGGGAGGGCATATGCACATGCTATGCCGCGGGTGATAAAAGCAGACCTTTCTACACACCCCTTCTCCCAATGCACCCAGACTTCAAAACCCATCACACATTCATTCAGCGAACACCTAAACACCCACTGAGCACTTAACTGATTCAAATCTCTCCCTTCTCAGAAGCCTCCCAGCCTCAGGCACCCACCATACCTCACTGAGCCGGCACACTGCTCTTCTCCCTGGAAAATATTCCTGTCCAGCTTAGCGTCCCCCACCCGTGCCACCTGCTTCTGTGTCTCTGGGACAGGCTGCAAAACTGGAGGTGACAAATGGTGGGAAGAAAACGGAACGCTCCCTACCTCCTTTGGGTGGGCCTCAGCCCTGTCTGCCATCCCCTGCCTCGCTGTGCGGCAGGGCGGGCGACCTGGAAATGCGAGGTAGGGCGAGGGGCCTGGGACACGCGTCTGCGGGCTGCGAGGACTTTACCGCCAGGCCTGGGCCCTGAGAGCTCCCCACGTCCTCTCCCGGGAGGCACAGGGGAAGTCAAGGCCCGAGGGCACCCCCGGTAGGAGGGCCGCTTGTGGTGTGGGGCCGGGGCTGCCTCCGTTTCTCGTCCAGGACCCCATCCTCCCGCCAAGGCCGGGAGGAGCTGGGGGAATCAGACGCTCCAGCGGGCTGAGGGCGACATTCTGTAATTCCAGGGTTGGTGGGGTGGGGTCGCGAACCGGAGGCTTTGGGGACCGACACGGGAGGGGCTCTGGATGCCATCGGAAAGGCCCCAGGACCAAGAGGAGCTCAAATTCACTCCCCCCAAGCCGACCTAAGGGGCTGGCGGCAAGGCCGAGCGCCGCAGTGTAGGGGCCGGGTGACAACTGTCGACTGCGGGGGGCAGGGGGTCGGGGGGGCCGAAGCTCCAGGGAGATGGGGCTCCAGCCCACCTACCTGCCCGGCCACAGCGGCTCCGCTAATCGCCCGCCCACCTCTCTCCCTAGGCGAGGTCTGCGGGATCTCTCTCAGTTCGGCTCTGATCCCCTCCCCCTTTGCTGCTGCGCCTGGGCTGTAACTCGACGTCCGGTTGGGCGTCCAGAGCGCAGTCCTGCGCTCCACCTCCGCTCGGCCGCCGACGGGCTGGCACAGGCGTCTCGCGGGTGTGCTCGACCAAGTCGGAGTTGCCCACACCTGCCCCGGGGAGCCAGCGCCCTGCACCCGGGAATCCGGGCCGCACTCGTGTTCTTTGGGCTGCTTTTGGGGTTCTGGTGCACCTAGGACCCTGGAGTTTGGAAAGCTGACGCCCTGTGAGAAATAAACTTTGGGAAGGCCTCACATCCTGTCTCCTGTCTGTCGCTGGCCCCAGAGTTGGGGGTTAGGGTGCCCAGAGCAACAGCTGATCCTTCTACCCTTCCCCAGACCAGAGGTCTCCAAGCCCCTTCCCAAAATGCAAGTTCTTGGCCTCCTCCAAGAGTCAGTGTACCTAGGGCCCCAGCCCCTTGGGCCCTGGCAGGAGTAAAGAACGGGGGCTGCCACCATGGTGGTATTTCTGGTGAAGGAAGCCCACTGCAGACAGAACTCTCCTTTCTATCAGGTTCAAGAAAAGCCTGTCACCTAAGCCAACCAAGCACCTGGCAGAGCTGAGGCCAGTGCAGTTAGGTTCTCAGCATCCTCCTTAGACTCTCAGCTCCAGGTGACAAGGCCCCAACTCTGGAGCCCCCAGAATCTGGGAGGGCTGTTCCCCTCATCCCCCACCACCACTCCAGGCCATCTAGCCCACTAGAAGCCCCTGGTAACTCAGCCACAGCTCCCACGCCCGCATCCCCCCTTCCACCCCAGCCTCCCCTGAGAGCATGTGGGGGACAAACAGAGTCCAGGCTTGAACACACTCCTTTGAAAAACAACTCCAGTTGAATCCCGTGGGAGCAGTGCCTGTCCTGGGCACCTGGGCTCCAGGCCCCTGTGCACCTCTGAATTCCTTCTGGCACCTGCCCCAAATCTTAAGAGCCTGCCCAATGCCTGGACCCCTCTGAGTCTGTTTCTTTCTGTCTTTCTCTTTTCCTCTGTCTCTCACCTTTCCCTGGCACCACCAGAACTCGGTCCTCGGGCCCTAAAAGGTGGGTCTCTCGCCCTTGGCGTCCACAAAGTGAAGAGACACACAATCATTCCTGCATATGCACAGGGACAGACCCTCACATGCTTAGAAACCCTCAGATACCAAAGAACAAATTCCTAGATACAACAGAGACACTGTCACACACATGGAGACTCCCAAACACAGAGAAATGTACACAAACATACACAGACACACGTCACAAATACACTCACAGAAACAGACACATTTACACGCCAAGAAATACTAAGACACTCACGAAGGGTGCATTTAGATACGCACAAGATACCAAACTCACACAGACACAGACACTCAGGAGCAGGCAGGCCCTGACCCGCGGACACTCAGCCTAACATCCAGCATGCACACACCAGCTCCCTTCATCCTACAAGCGCAAAAGGCTCCCCCGGAAAGAAAATTTCCGGAGGGAAGGAGAAGCACGCGAGGCCCTGCTGGGAAGGATCGGGAAGAAAGCGCCTGCCAGGCTCCGAAGTGCTAAGGCTCTGAGAAGTGAAAATCATTTATTGAAATCCGTGAGAAGGGCACTTCCATTTCCACCTCTTAGGAAACAGGGAAGTGGTTTAACTCGTTCTGCACATCAACTCTGGATCCACCAGGGCGCTCTCCCCTCAGCGGGCAGAGGCCAGTCTTCCCCAAGCCCCACCCCGCGGTAGCCGAGTGGGCGCAGACAGGAGGTGCCGGTCCACCCCAGGCCACAGGGCCCTGGGCCAACTCGCCCGCGCCACTGCCCAGCCCCTGCCCAGGCGCGCAGCCTCCGCTGCCCCTCTACTGGGCCGGGAAGAGTGCCCGGTGGACACCGAGCCTGACGACGCTCGGGAGGCGCGGGCCGCGGGGGAAGAAAGCGGGTCTGCGCGCCCAAGGCCTGCACCGTCTCGCCCGGCTTCGCCCTGGCAGATGCGCGCCATTCCTTACCTTTCTTGATCACCGACTGGTCCAAGAGGCTCATTCCTGGCTCGTCCATGGCCTGCAAATACGAGAGGGCGGCGGTGAGGGCGCGTATGGACTAGCCGCCTGTGGCCTCCCGAGCCCCTGCTGCCTCTGGTCCCTGTCTGCTCCTCCCAACATGCACCACCGTCGCCCAGGGCGGCGACAGGCGGGACCGGGAATCGCTGTGGCTTGGCACTGAGCTGGAGTCTGGGTATCTCGGTCCAGAGCAAAAAGGGGATTTTGAGCCTCAGACCCGCAACTACAAGCTTCTCTTCGCCCCAGGCGCCGGCTGCCCGGTGAATGCTCCGCGAGGCTCAACCGCTCCCCGGGCAGGGAAAGACGTGATTCGGTTTCTGTCCAGGCCCCGCGCACGGACTCAGGGCCAGGAGACTTCAATGGCCAGGCAACGTCTAACCCTGGAGGCGGGACGCGTCCTCAGAGTCGCCGACAAGAAATGGCGGGCAGGGAGAAAAGTCGGGCTCCTGAGTCTGTCACTTTTTGCCTCCAGCCAGGGCG